AGGGTGGGACTTTTTTTTGTTAAATAGAGTTGATTTTCTATACCAATATGATCGAGGGTAATTGATTATCATTTATCATTATCTCCCATTCCCTAACCCTGGCCTATGTGTTTCCGATGATTGATCGCCCCGGAGAATGTAAAGACAGAGTCGGGACGAGTTCGCGAGGGGCCGGATAAAGAGATGGGCTTCTAGGAGCGCACCGAAGGAGCTCTTCTATCTCCATCGAAAGACACTGCCCGGTTAGCCCCGCAACGACGCGAAACCCCGCTACCGTACACTAAACTTTCTAGGTGCAAAACCTACCGCTAAAACCCGCGAGTACTTAAAGGGACTATCCCACCTTTAACATTGGGTTTGAGTTGAGATAGCCAAGTTTGCGGCGAGGTTCAGAAACCACTATCTACCTAGGTTGCAACCCCCGCGGCCTCTTGGTGTTGAAGAAATTCGTTCCCTTCATTTGAAAATGGGCCTTGTACAAGGCCCTATCTTCAACATGGAGCGACCGTTAGTGTGACGTCACCTCTTTTAGTCATTCTGATTTAAATGGGTTTGTTCGTTGAAAAATCGCTTAAAACTTGGTCTGAACTTTGTTGTGGTGCCTACAGAGTAAAAAGAATCAGCTTTATGACAGTAATTTGGCCTGGGGAAGGAGGTAATTTTGGGCTGTGACGTCACATATTTGAAAGTTTGTGTTTGGAATATGGGAAGCCTAAGATGTTTAATGAAAAATAAATGCCAGAACCGTGTTCCTGGTCATCCAATCTATAAAGTCGGGCACAATTTAACTGGTTTCAACAACATTTTAGAAGGTGGGATAGTCCCTTTAAGTGGGCAAAGTTTCATGTTGATGTGAATCGGTTGTGTGATCCAAGAGCTTGGGCTTAATCATTCCAATAAATCTGACTATTAGTGATAAACTTGTGAGTTGTGACAAAAGTGACGCAGATCATTCATTTAACTAGATGAATTATTGTGCATGTGGTTAGGTACTGGATATAACTTATGTATTAGATTTCTACCACATGATAGGATAGGGGGCCTTGTTCTAACCTTTGGACATATCAGCCATGGGTGTAGTTTTCCAAAAATCATTGGGGGTGCTCAATAGCTTTCAGAAAGGCATGCCATAGTTTTTGTAGTTTTTTTAGCTGTTCTTTTTTACTGTAGCCATCAGGCATCATGCAAGAAATGATGTTAAATCGGTTCGAGAGCTTGTTTTAATAGCGCCACTGTAAAACAATTTTGGCTCACCCAATGCATTAACCCGCGCGGGGCTGGGGTCTCCAGTCGAACGCGCGGGGCTTGGGGGGGGGGTAAATTTTACCCCCTGTTATATCCCGAACTAATGGTCCGATTTGGAAAATTCAAACGCCAATCGAAAGATCTCATCACGAATAACTAATAACATGTACTTAATTTAAAGTTTGAGGTCAAGGTCAAGGTCAGGTCAAGGGTACAAATTGCAGGTTTCTACAGTATCGGCCTTGCACCGTAGTTGCCGAAGAATGGAGTCATGGACTGAGACTGATTGCCCAAAACGTGTTTGGGCCTGACCTTGGCCATAAGTTTGGCAGGCCAGATTTTGTACTGGACCATTTTGAGTCAACTTTGAGAAATACATAATGTACAACGGTGGTAAAATTGTTGCTATAGGTATAACACAGTTTACCCGCTCCGGGTGTGAGGGAGGGGTGTGGGGCATTTGAGTGCACTGACGTGGCGCCCTCGGAGGGCCGGCATGGGATTAAAGCTCAGCTACACTAAGGGCTTGTGTGGTGCCTTCAGTTATCGGTGGCACCCTCAGAATCATCGGCGTAGGGCCCTCAGAGCCGCCGGTGAGGGAAGCACCGGTGTGGGGCCGCCATGCAGGTGCCGGTGTGGGCGATCAGAGGTGCTGGTGTGATTCTCTCAGAGGCGACGATGAGGGTCCCTACAGGCGTTGCTCCGGGCCCTCATAGACGCTGGTGTAGAGCCGTTACAGACGGGTGTGGGGCCTTTAGAGCTGCTGACGCGAACTGTCTACAAGCCGGCAGGGGGTCTCAGTGACCGGTAAGGGGTCCTTAGGGCAGGCCGGCAGAAGAAGTCCTGCAGGGTCCTAAGAGACCGGCATGGTACTGTCAGACGCCGGTGGAGCCCTCAGGGTCACCGTTGTGGGGCCCTCAAGTCATCAGTGGGTGGCCTTTAGATGCGCAGGTGTTGGGTGGGTCCTCAGAGCCGCCGATATAGGGCTTTAATAGGCACTGGTGTAGGCACTCGGAGTTGGGGGTGTGAAACGCTCAGAGACACCGGTGTGGGCCCTCATAGGCACCGACGAGGGCCCCATAGTTGCCGTTATGGGGCCCTCAGAAAAATAAGTGTGGGACCATCACAGGTGGGAAATGCCCCTAGAACTGTCCCCTCATAGGCCGGTAAGACCTCTCAGAGGCCAGTAACGGGCCTTTGGAGACCACCGAGGTGTCCTTAAAAGCCGCAAGAGGCCCTCAGAAGTCGGCGTGGGGCCCTTATGGAGACCTTAGTGTGGCTATTTAGGGCCCATGAGGTGCTCTAACGAGCCCCACGGGGCCCTTCTGAGTAGAAATATGGCCATCGTTAACCCTCAGCGGTCAAATGGCGCCGCAGGGCCTCTCGGACCCGAGGGTCCCTTTGAACCCGATGGGGGGGAGGGGGTACGTGTCCCCTTAGACCCCTAGCTATGCCACTGTTTCATATGCATCATGTCAGGTATTTTAGGCTCGCCCCCCCCCCTTCAACTTGAAAATCGTTCCCGGGCCCCTGATAATATCAGATGTAATGTTAACACAAATATCATGCATCTTAATTTGTGGTGATTTATTCAATGTATATTCTCTTAGTCACTGAATTGAGTAAGCATAGTATTTGCATGATTCACTGGGCTCATTACAGTACTAGGAGATGGTCATTCTGATTATTGAGGGCTTTGAGTCAGCTGGGAATGTTTTGAGGAGGCTGGGGGTGCTTTAAGAAGGCAGGGGGTGCTGAGCTCAGGATTGGGGGTGCTTGAGCACCCACAAAGAGATATAAAGTTACGCTTATGATATCAGCTATCAAGAAACATAGGCATTATGCATGGCTGTTGGGCCATGGGTGCCTCTGTTATAAATGCTATTTGTTAGGATAAGGAGTTTTTTTCTTTGAGTAATGCCTTGTAATTAGACACTTATTTAGACTATTGTTTCTAGAAAGTTGAGTCAGCTGACTCATGTTTGATGTTTGACTCAACTCAATGTCAAAAGTTATTTTACTGACTCAACTCTGACTCCACTCAACACCTTAATAACCCTCGCCGGCACAGGGTTGATGCACCCCCCCCCCTCCCCCTAAGGTTTTTCGCGAATAACTCGCGTAAAAAGCGGCCGATCGCGACGAAACTTCCAGTACCCTCGCATTGATCAATTTTACACCTACCCTGTACCTAAATTTCATGACCCTGGCCCAAATGACCTTTGACCTGTGACCTCTTTTCCGATACCATGTTGTGCCGGGATCGCGATTCGGCGTATGTCGGCTCGCATTAGCCGCGCGTTTTTCGTGGTTTCAAACGTTCAAACATGTGATTTGATGTTGCTCCCATGCATAAGGGTGGGTGTCAAGGTCACCTGAAGGTCAGGTCAGGTCATTGACCTTTGGTGACTTCGATTTACTTTTTCGAGTTTTACATGTTACTAGGCTAGTTTTTGGAGCTGAATTCGAATTATTTAGCAACCATTTGAACATTAACGAAGTAGTTTTGGTGCCTTCGTAACATGTTACGAAGCTGTCAGAGGCGGATGACAGGTACTTCGAATACCCGTCACGACCCCTACCGGTTGACCTGACCTGACCTGACCCGACCTGGTCTAAACGCTTAACGACATCATCTGTGATTAAAACTAACACGATATTCGTGATCAGCACCCCGGAAAACCCCGTAGCAGCCACACGTTACGACTTTCTAACAGGTCCCGATATTCCCGATTTTTGGGTCATTGACCTGACCTGGAAGGTCAACCGATGACCTAGGACCTTAAAATTGGGTATCATTGGCTTCCTCTCGTGACGGGCAGCACGCTCGTTTTTTTCCGCGAAGCTCTAGCTCCATCAGGGGCCAAACGCGAGGGGGTCGTATCCCCCCCCCCCCCCTTGTGCCGTCGAAGGACTCAAAATGACCTGTGCCGGCGAGGGTTGATATTTTTGTCCGACTCAACTCTGACTCAACTCAACAGCTCAACATTTTATCCGACTCGACTCAAATCTGACTCATTTGAGTCAGTCAAATTTCTGACTCGACTCATGAGTCAAGCACAACCCTGGGTAGTTGATAACTTCCTTTCGACACTAGGTGTCAACTGATGCAGCCGAAAGTACCGAAAGTTTCGTGTCAATACGTTTAATGGCTTAGAAGACGTTGCAGAAAAACGGGAGGGGCTCTGTAGAGCCATTTCAGCCATCATCATACGCCGGTCAAATATTTGAGCCATTTACACGACGTATCATCCATATCCTGCAAATACACCACACTTGATCAAATCTAACGAAATCCCTGTAAAAGGAAATATGTTCCTTCAAACATGAATCTATGTAGCTCGATATTGTTATCGAAAATTATGTCATTTGATAACTCAGTATATACTTATAGTGCACAACCCAAGCTGAAAACTACTAAGAGTCAACTATGAACGTAATTCCAACAAATCTCACCAAATGTGACCAAATGTGTGTCAGATAACAGTCGTGAACACGGCTATTCGCCACCAGGAGCTTACACCATAATTATATTGACGTCGTGATCTATCGTATTCTCGCGATTCCTGCAGTGGCAGGGCTGGTCAGAGCGGATGCCGGGAGGGCGGGTGACGTATGATGAGTGTTATCGCCTGTCACCGAGGGTCTCTGCAGCCCAAATACCAGTGTCCGGTGGCCGTCAGCTCCCAGTTCCCGGAGCACCCCGCTCGTGTGACGTCACAGCGCCGGCCGGGAGCCAGTGGCGGGCCGGGCGCCAGGCCCCGTGACGACACCGGGTATCGACTGTGGGCCGCCGGCGTATAAAGTAGCCCGGGGCGACGGCGGCGGTAAACAGTCGTCGGCCGGCGGGCGGTCAGCGGAGAGCCACTGACAGATAGACAGACAGGAGCGAGCCGTGTGGCGGTCCTCAAACAGGTGAGAGGGGCTGCGAGCTGCCGAGCTGCAGAGGGCGCCGGACGCCGGCCGGGGGCTGCGAGCTGCAGAGCTGCCGAGGGCGCCGGACGCCGGCCACGCGGACCGAGCAGCACCGACCGCCGCGTCTGAAACGGGTGCGACGGGGTACCAATTCCCGCAGCCGATTTCATAACGTTTGGTACCAACTATGCATATTGCATTAAGGTGTATATTACTCCCTATGAAAGCACTTCCTTTATGATTGGGTGGTTTTATTAGTATCAGAAGAGAGCGTATCATTACCTATTCTATGACTCTCTTTCCAAGGATTTTTTTTTTTTTTTTACTACAAACAACACTGCTCATAATAATAACATCATTTCGATACATCCGCTATTGCTTTATGAAACCGTTTGGGCGTGAAATAAAACCAATGAATGGAAAACTGCGTTGGTTGCATTTTACGGCTTTTATGAAATCGGCTGCTGGAGTGACCGAGCCTGTCGTATTTCGGATAGGAGGAATGCCACTTGATCCGCCCTTATTCCACTCGGCTGATCTGGCACTTCTGTGGCGTAGGCCGTGAGCCCAGCACCCTGCGATCCTGTGCGCCTGTGTGACTGACCGTACTTGACCTCTGTGCCCATTGCTGTGACCCAGCGGAGCCCTGTGCTCTACTGACCTGCAGTTGACCGCATGTGACCCTGGCTAACCCTAGGAGCGATCCGTATGTCCTAGGGGCTATGGTAGCCGCACACTTCACGTGGCTTAGTACACACATAGACCAATTCCTTATGTTTAAGTAATTCATCGATTAGAAGCGGAAACAGCGTCATGGTTAAAGGCGCAGATCCAGAGGACGTTGGGACGCATGCCCAATGTCTTTCCCCCTTCGGCAGCGTCTGGGAACGAAACACATCGCTCTTCTCGAATGGAAAACTTAGCTTTTATTGGAAAAGTTTGATGTTAATTGGTTAGCAACGAAAAAGGAAAAATTCCCGGAGGCTTCTGGCATTTGGAAAATGTTTTGGGGCATATCCCCTGGCGTCAAATACCGATTTCTTGGATTAACACTTAACAGTTAACAGTGATATTGTTACCCGTTTTCACGACGGCTATCCGGTACATATTTGGTGCACATTAGGTGCAGATTTGGTCAAACTAGACGCAGATTTGGTCAAATTAGGTGTGTATTTGGTCAGATTAGGTTCATTGTGTTTCTTAGAAGCTATCAGTTTGGGGTGCACAGTTGTTTATACCTATACCTGATCTGTCAAATTATCAGAAATTATTTTCTATATAACACTGAAAAGTGAAATAAATTCATGATGTGAAAATATTTGTTGTAAGAAATTTGGTGCAGATTTGGTCAGCTTGGGTGCGTTCGCCAAAAAAAATCGTCATAAAAACGGGTAGTACCTACTCTATGAACATGCTCCCTGTAATTTTTAGCGCCGCGAAGCATGCTGAACGAACAGGTTTAGTTACCATTTACATACAACTACTTGCACAGCCATTGATGTAAAAAAAAAAATCATGATGACAGATTGCTTTAACTAATCGGACCAGTAAAGCAACAATTAAGCTATTGAATTCGTAGCCATTACTTCATAGCTGAGGTTTTGGATCGTCAATTGCGTCCCACTCCCGATTTCTGAATGATCTGGCCTGACGTTTGTTCTCGACTCTGTATTCTCGCCCATGGTGGCTCAGTTTCACGGCTCCAGTGATCCGCCGTGGTCGTTAGACGCTGGCTGTGCGTCCTGATGCTTAGTGCCACTTCTTAGCCAGGCCGAAAACTAATCAGAAGAGCAACAGACAACTGTTACATGCAGCCTAACGCTGCTGTGTACATTAACTCGTTCCTGTTATATCATTACGTGAAGCTTGTGCAGTGTATTGACACCTAGGTGACCCAAAAATGGCTCACTTTGCTGAGCTCGCTCTGTTCTTTCGTCCTCAAGTAAGGCCGTCGTTGCGCAGAGTAGGCAATACTCAGCACTGAAACGGCCAACTAAACCACTGTTTCGTGCATTGTTTGGCAAACTGGGATATACAGTGCCGCATTCATTTTTACAGCAGCCTTTGGGTTAACGCTGAACTGCTACGATGGTATGCTGGTGCTACTCGCTGGTGGGTATTGTGCTGATTGTTTCTGGTCAGTGTTAGCGGCGCTTTGGTGGTACGTTCAGCCCATATTGTTCGGTGTGAATGTACTGTGGCTCCTCTCCTCGCCATCTTCCCTGCCGCCGACGCACCCGTACAAACACGCAGGCAGTGCGCCGATGGGGCCGTGACTATACGGCAGTCATAGATCATTGGGAAACCGATATCAGACCTAATGCCAACCAAAAGCCAGAACCATCTTCAAACAATGACAGAAATGACAAAAACGCCAAGTTGTTTTGCTTCCGAGCGTCTTGTGCATTGCAAGGGCTTCATACCAGCAAAATACCAAAAGCATTAGCTTTGATATGCAGAACGCCAAATTATCATCGGTTCTGTACCGGTGGGCATGCCGAACAGTTGATAGCCGACTGACACCTCCGGTAGTGATGTGGGGCTGCTGGTGTGTGTGTGTGGGGGGTCTGACGTCACCACCGGACGCCCCCCCCCCCCTATAATCACCGCTCCACACCGGACACGTCACGGGACCAATCACATCAGTTCCGGCTGGGCGACGCAGACCGCTCTTCCGGCCTTGCTTATCATTCAGCTGCTTGTTGCACAGCTTATTTCTGAAAAGTGGATATTGCTAGAGTCATCTCCCTATTCAAAAATATTGATTCGTAAGAGCAGCTGAAAATGATTGGTTTGTTATGTTAATGTTAACCCTCGCCCGTAAACGGCGATCTGCCACCTTCGCCCATGCAGGGGGGGGGGGGTTGGTGCGACCCCCCCCCTTGGCGTTTGAAAACGGAGCGTCGTAGAGCTTAGCGGAAAAGACCATCGGATTGCTCTCGCCGAGATCTCGCGATTGGTGGTAAATTTTTTGGTCCTAGGTCAACATTTGACCTACTTTTGACCGGTCAAAGGTCAAATTTTCGGAAAAATAGACTTTTTTCAACTTTCCGCGGCGATTGCGGCAAAACGGTGGGAGATATCGACTTGAAACCTTCACTATCGTGTTCCTTGATCAATTCTCTATCGTTTGGTATGCATTTCGTTTCCCTAGCTCTAAAAATGGCGCGTTGGGAGCGCCGGAAGTCGGCAAGGTCACAGTCGGCGGCAGAAATTCGAAAAATCAAAATTTAAATTTTTGAAATCTGATTGTATTTTTGGATTTGGGAGGTCCATTTGCTCCCTATAGAAGCTAATATTGCTGCATATTCCCATTGAGGTGACAAGAATTAGCAAAATAGTGGTTCGGGCGCTTTTCAAAAATAGTACCGGACGCTGTTCCTCTTGTGACGTCATAGCTCCGTGACCTGACCTGACCCGGTCAAGTTTCTTATACCATATGATAGCCAATACTTGCCCCAATATGCATGGGAAGTTTCATCACGATCCATCAACCGATGTCCGTACCACCGGCAGGAAACCTCGGGCGTTGGCACTCAGTTTGTGAAAATCCGGCCGGAGGCTGTTCCCTTTGTGACGTCATAACTCCGTGACCTGACATGACCCGGTCAAATTTTTTTTATCAAAAGATGCGCAAGGTTTGCCCCATAAGGTACCCAAAATTTGGCGGCGCTGCGCGCCGCCGTTTTTACACTATTTCCGAAAAACCTCAGGGGGGGGGTTGCACCAACCCCCCCCCCCCCTACATGGGCGAGGGTTAATATAGTCAAATAATGACCATTTTAGTCATTTAGTTTGAGGAACTCACTCCTCGCCATGTCCTCCTAGGTATTATACGTGCACTCAGATAACAGATACTTTTCAGGGCTGTGCTCATGCCCTGTGCACTTGCAGCTTTCACGGATAGTTTTGCACTGATCGTGTCTTTTAAGTTTTAAAGCAAGCAATCTTTTTAAAGGAGCAGTGCTTTTCCAATTAGCATTAATGGCACAAAAGTTTGCTTTTAACTGCACAGCAGCGCATATGGAACCAGTAAAACGCCTTTTGGGCGACCAACGGAGCGAGCGAGAGGATGGGCCTTGCACGTGCGAAATTGCGAGGGGGTACCTCCAACTAACTTGTGCACTGCACCCTACTAACCGGTCTTTAGCGATGTGCCAAATTTCAGCGCAATCGGCCTAGCCGTTCTCGAGATCTGGAAGCGGCACACTGCACGTGCGCACGTGCAAGCGGGGTCCAAACTGACTTTTGCACGGCACCCTACTAACTGGTCCCCAACCGTGTACCAAATTTGAGCGCAATCGGCCCAGCCGTTCTCGAGATCTGGGAGCGCCCCCTGCACGTGCGCACGTGCTGTAGCACCCCAACCTTAACACATGCAGATGAATTATCTGATGCAGACCTAACTGTGTATCGAGTTTCAATTCAATCGGCCCAACCGTTGTGCCGTTATTGAGGTTGCAATTTTGGGGGTTCTTAAAAAAATGTCCAACTTTACCACGCGCCACGTGCGGTGGTTGGCAAGAACGCATGGTGACCATCACACCACAGAACTTTTACGTCCAAGTGACATTCAGTAAAGAAGACCGCTTGTCAATCGGATGTCCCGTTCCTAAGATATTAGCTTTTGAAGAGCGTCCCCACGGCCTGCCGGCCGGCCGGCCGCTCATACTCAGGATTTTCCCTTAATTCAGTATGAGACTCCGCTCGCTTCGCTCGCTCCGTAATCATAATCCAAGGAGTTCTTCGAGCTTGGATTTTTTTCGAAGGTATACCCCCCTCCCCGCTTAACGTCAGTTATCGTCTTTCTGGGTCCATCTATAACTGTTTGGCACGGTACGACGATGGGCTATAGTCTGCAGGAGTGACTGATTACCAGAGGCATGCTGCACGGTGTCAAATGGGGCCAACTTTTACCGCTAGATGGCAGCGGTGACGACGCCTGAGTGTATGCTGTGCCGCACGACACGGCTCGGCCCACGGTATAGGAACTATGTATAGGATCCCAACAGCGAACGACGGTCGGCTCGGCTCTGGCCGTCTTACCCGCCGGGCGCACCCGTCCCCGTGCCACCAGCTACAAACAAAAATGCCGCATTTTTTCGACAAAGATCGAAAGCGGCAAGTCTGCGGGCTTTCGACTGGAGCAAAGATGGCATGTATCTGTATGAGGCTTTCGTCAACACAATGCCGCAAAACATATGTAATTTGAATTTATTGAACTATTGAAATTTTATAAAAGGTGCACACGGGGAAAAAGGAATTCGATTTATTCGAACCAAAGCGGCGAACGGGGGGGGGGGGGGGCACCGGGGCACCGTGCTCCCTTTGATTTTGGCCTTTTAACATTAGCCCTATGGGCGTTGCATGGAAAGAATTGACCAACAGTCGGCAGTGCCCCCCCCCCCCTTAATTGAAAGTGTTCCGCCGCCACTGAATTTGAGAGAGCTATGGTACTCGGTAAGCAGTAACCGCTCATTTAATAGTTGTCCTCCAGCGAACATTATCATTTAAGAATTGTAAAAAGAAAGCAGAGGGAAGAATAGAAAATGTCCATTGTCCAATGACGATTAGTGGAATGATACAGTGTGCGTCACCAATTTTTGTTTCGCCAGTCGCGCATATACGGTGACACGGTGCGTCGCCTGCTTGAAGACCGTCCGGTAGCGTCCGCCTGGCTCCGGTCGACTACGCCGCAGCCCCCCCCCCCCCCCCCCAATGAGCGGGTGCTGGCGGTTATGGCACACTGAACCAGGCCGACCGAACGGGGAGCAGCGTCAACAAACAAACCCTGCCGCGTGCCAACGGCGCCACCGGACCGTGTGCACCGGCGGCGGCGGGGCACGGCGGAGGTAGTACGGGACGGGACGGTACGGGACGGAACGGGACGGTACGGCGGGTCCGGCGGTACGCTGGGTAGGTACGGCACGCTGCTGGCGGCGGTCTGACGGTACACATATCGAACGTCCGAGGAGCCGCGTCACGGCCACAATTCCAGCCCGGCTGCCTGTCGGCTGTAGCGGGGCGATCAACGCCTACCGAGGAGCGTGCAGCGGGGTCGATACCGGACAGGTCGCTCGGTACCGTCGGCACCCGGAGCCCCCGTGGCCGTGCCGCTGTCACACGCTACCTGGTGGTTACCTGGCTACCTGGCCAGCCGCTGGTCGGCCGCCGCCGCTGGCTGTGCGGCGGACCGGTGACCGCGCCTCTCGCCTCCGTCCGCCCCCCGTTTCCGCCGCGGCCGGCCGGCGGAGGCTGCGCTGCGCCCCTATCACCCAGAGCCCGCCCAAGGCCGCCGGCCTCTGTCCCAGTGACGCGCCGTCATGTGTGTGACTACGTGACGGACGTGACGGACGGCGGCACAGCGCCCTGTGAGCTGCAGCCGCCAGCCAAGGCACAGACACAGACACGGCTACAGTGACGGCGGCGCCCTGCGGCACAGCCGTGGGCGCCCGTGCGAATGACACTTACGACCTCAAAATAGTAAACAGGAAACGGCCATAAGTTACTTCGCAGTGTGCATACTTTTAGTCATATCTCGAAGGGAAAAATAATCAAGCAGCTGATGATGTTAAAGTTCAACCTGATGACGCTAGTCAAATACCAGTATGTCACTGATATTCGTGTTTACTAATTATGTATATACCTAATCGATGCTAAAGAACACTTCACTTTATTAAGGCAACGTTGCGCTATAGCTGTTTCCCTCTAGCTGCTGTGTTACCATGTGACCGTCCCTCTCTCGGCTGCCGTGCTGCCATGTGACGGTCCCTCTCGCTGCCCCGGCAGGTGGTGACGATGCGGCCCGTCTGTGTGCTGGCGGCGCTGGTGGCGCTGACCGGTGGCCAACAGCCGGAGCCCGGCGCCCACTGGATGTCGGGCGCCGTGGCGCGCAGGGCGGCCTCGCTGCCGCCGCGCGACCCGGACGCCGAGGTGATCGGGCCCATCACCGACCCGCGGCCGGCGCTCGACGGCAACTTCCAGGTGCCGCACGGCCACCGGCTGGCCGGCGTCTACCGCAACGACAAGCCGCGCCTGCCGGACGACTACGTGCGCTACCTGCGTCAGCAGGGCCTCAGTGCAGAGCAGATCGAGCACGGCGCCGGCCTGGAGGGCACGCGGCGCGCGCGCGCCCCCACACCTGTCCAGATGCCGCTGCCGGACGGTCTGACCGTACACTTGGAGCCGGAACAGCCGGCGCAGCCCACCGGCCGGCCAGCGCCCCTTCCATCGGCGCCGGTGCCTGCCATCGAGCACCTGCGCGCGGCTGGCGACGAGCACTCGAACGCGGTCGGCGTGGCGCCGCTGGTGCCCGCGTGGACCGGTCTGCCGCGGCTGGAGGACCTGCGCCGCCATCACCGGCGCGTCAAACAGCGCCTGGACGAGCAGTGGAGGCAGCAGCTGCGCCAGCACCAGCAGCTGCTCGGCCAGCGGTCCCCCGGCGCGCCCCGAGTCCAGGAGGAGTACCACGCGCGCCACCTGCCCGGCGGCGGCCGCAGCGTCTCCTACTCGAAGCGCACCACGCACCACACGTCCTACACGAGCGGCGGGCCGGCGCAGCGGCTGCGGCGCCGCAAACGGCAGCACCGGCCACTCCGTGCCGGCCGCTGGTGATGGGGGACGGGTCGCCGGACGACACGCTGGAGGGCGCACCGCCGCGCGGGTGACGGCGGGCCGCCTACAGGCAGCTGCTGGAGGGCTCCGCGCTGGTCATCGCGACTCGCGAGCTGGCACTCAATCCCTCGTGGGCCACCGCGATCTGGCGCTGGTGGCCTGCCGCTGGCGCCCGTGATGTGACGCTGGAGGGCGCCCCGCCGCGCTGGAGAGCAATCACCTGAGAGTGGCGCCATAGAAACCGGTGTCAGCCCGACACGAGAAAGGACTGTGGCCAGAGTGCGGCTCGGGCAGGTCACGTGTTTGGAGCTGAGGACGCCGAGGACACAGGACATCGTCTCCAGGTGATGACGCGAGCATTGGGCGCGTCCCGGGGGGACGGCGCTCGCTCACAGTCTGCATGAGAGGACGGTGGAGCCGGCGGTGGAGTCTCAGCAGCGGGCCGCCGAGCGCGCACCTAGCGTATCGGACGGACGCTGACTGGCGCCGACCGTGGACGGCCCTATGCCGGGCCTCGCCGAGGACCGCGTCCGCGGCGCTCTGTATTGGCCAGGGACGCTGTGAGAAGGCCAGTGGCTTTTGTTGGTACCTACGAGCATAGTTAGGCACGCTCTGTGCGGCTTTCGATCGTGTTGAGTTTGTATATGTTTTCGCGCAATTAATCTATGTTGTAGCTAGCGTGTGTCTACAAAGGCGTCTCGAACGCTACAACAGATCAAGCCCCAAACTGAGCTTGTTGATGTTTCTCGTGACAATACGCATGCGGATGTATGCACGTATGTGGATGATGTAAAGCAGGGGTCGGCAAATGGTGGGGCATGCCCCCTTTGGGGGTAATGGAGCCCCTCGGCGGGGGGTAATGGGGCATCTGAGGAAGCCTCATCTTATCTTAGAATTGATTGCTCCCTTGATGGGACAGACATCACGACTGTTTGGTCCCAGGGTTCAAAGATAAGTCTAGGTCGAACACTAACCGTTGCCCCTCTATTGGCGTTTTCATAGCAGCTAACGTAAACGGGGAGGGGCCGATCGGAACCCAGCCTCTCGGCCTCTGAACTGGAACTTTGCGGCAGAACTAAACGAGCGTGCTACCCGTGACGATAGGAACCCGCTGCCACCCAATTTTAACCTTCGCACTTATACGGAGATTATATTCGCACTTTCCCTCCTTTTTTACGAACAACTCGCGCAAAAAGCGGCCGATCACGACGAAATTTTCAGTACCTATGAGTTGATCAATGTTATACATTGGAGCTGATTTCGAATTTTGCTACATGAGACTGAAGAGTCATGTCTTAATAGTTAATACCCAGGTAAATGCTTATTTGAAATTGTTTTAACGGACTTTCACTGGGTAGTGGGTAAAAGTTATTATTGGTCCCGGTACTCCGACTTGTATTGAAAAGTCTTCGATGGGGCACACCGTGTGCCCCATCGAAGACTTTTCAATACAAGTCGGAGTACCGGGACCAATAATAACTTTTACCCACTACCCAGTGAAAGTCCGTTAAAACAATTTCAAATATGAATTTTGCTACCATTTGAACATTTACGAAGTAATTTTGGTGCCTTCGTAACATGTTACGAAGCTGTCAACGGTGGTTGATGCCTACTATAAATACCCGGCAGGACGCCTATTAGTTGACCTGACCTGACCCGACCTGGCCTAAATGCACGAAGACATCTGTGATCAAAACTTAGATAAGATTCATGATCAGTACCCCGAAAAAACACAACAGCCTCACTTTACGAAGTTCTGACAGGTCTCGATTTTCCAGACTTTTTAGGTCGTTGACCTGACCTGGAAGGTCAACCAATGACCTAGGACCTTAAAATGGGGTATTATCGGCTTCCTCTCGTCGCTGGCAACACGATCGTTTTTTTCGCGAAGCTCTAGCTTGATCAGGGGCCAAACGGCAATGGGGTCCAACGAATCCCCCCCCCCCCCTTATGTACGTTCGCCGCTGGCAAACCCCAATACGGGCGAGGCTTAACCCGGCAGGCGGTGGGCCTACCAGCCACCTTCCGCGCGGAGGGGGGGGGCATTTTTTGCCCCCCCCCCGTATCTCCGAAACTACTGGACGGATCCGGAAAATTCAAACGGCGTTCGATAGCCCTGTCAAATTTGTCAAGGGAGACCAAATTTCATTGACCTCGGGGTCACCGATGACGTCACAGGTCAGGTCAAAGATAAAATGTTTCACCGTTCACGGGGCTTCTAGGGAAAGCGCTATTACACCGAGTAAAACGCATTTTGTCGAAAATCAGCGATAAGGCGTCAGTTGTCTAGTACATATGTTGCTATTAGAGGTCACTGGTCATACCAGGTCAGGTCACAGGTCAGGTCACCAAAGGTCACCAAGGGTCACCACATGAGCCCAACTTTACTAAGGTTATGCGATGCATGTTTTATGGCCAGTTTTTCATTTCCAACTCAATGGTATTGGTTATAAGAGCATCAGGTACGGTTTAGGTCACTTTCTGGTGGAGGTCAGGTCAAGGTCAGGTCAAAAAAGATCAAATTTCAAAGTTGATATTTTGCATAAAATGGGTATTGATTCGATGCAGCTCGTCACGGGGAGTCTAATGGTGGTCTTTGTTTTGCTCTACGAGGTCAAGAATTGCTAAAAATTGAGTTTGAAAATTTGACGTCATCAATTTTGAACAGTTTTTTCGCTATAACTTGGCCAAAAAAGAGGTATCGATCTCAAATTTGGTATGTAGATAGAAGGCGGTAGTGACTATCACATATATTCCGGGTTTTTTTTTCGAAATTCAAAAAGCTTTTTTGATTTTTTGGCTATTATACTAAAAAAATCTATTTTTTTATTTTGGGGGTCAAAATTCGAAAAATTCGAAAAACCGAAACAGCAATTTTGTAGCTCTCTTGATTCCACACCTTTTATGTTGAAACATTTTTCTGTATCTCTAAAGCTGTAGGCCTGACAGCTCTTCCCGCGAAACCTTTTTTTGGGTCGAAAATGGCAAAAATGACGTCACTCTGACGTCATTAGCGGCCAACCTATCATAGCCTTTGGAAAAAAAAATTTTGGTCACCATGTGCGCTAGCTGCTCCCGGGAGGGTACTGAAAGTTTGGTGACGATCGGCGCAGCGGTTCTAGAGATATATTGAAAAAAAAACTAAAGGGGGGGGCAAAAAAATGCCCCCCCCCCCACCGCCTGGAAGGCTAAGCTCCTTGGCCATTGGGTGACTTAAGAATTTCAAGAGGTCAATGACAATTGTGGAGAAGATCGGGACCTGCTGTACCTAACTTCTGGAATGATATTTTATGACCTACCATGATCTCAAGAAACAACTAAGAAGTCAACGGTTATTTGTGTCATTATATGAAATGTTTTATGGCAAATAAAAAAAAGATCGGTTTGAGGGTACAATTTTGTCGTGATCCGACGCTTTTTACATAATAATACCCAAAATGTCCAAAGTGTCACGGAAACGTATGGCATTTGAGTAAACTTGGTTGAGTATGCAATGCGGTCTGGTAGGTAGGGGTAATGGCCCTGCCTGGCGCCCAAAAAGGGGGCACGACCCCGGAGGACCTGCCGAGTGCCGACCACTGATGTAAAGTGTTAGTATCGCCGTGTATTCGTTTGGACTGATATCCTGCGCTCTGATGGGGGGCATTTTGGCCCTCCTGTGGATTTTCTTAAATAGCGAGAAAACGGCGGCGCGCAGCGCCGCCAAATTCTCAGTACCTTCCCTGGCATCAATTTGACACCTTCACACAAAATTTCAAGTCACAGGTCACCCTGGGTCAGGAGTTATTGAGGTCAAACTGAGGTCATGTTCGAGTAAAAATGAGCAAAAAACATGACATCTTGAAACGCTCACCAAATCTACAATTTACAAGCAATTTTAAAGTTCTTTATGTGGTTGTGAAGAAAAAAAAACGGCGCTACAAAACTGCTATCTCGGATTTTCAAAAGTTTTGATTTTCATCCCAAGAAAAAAAATAAAAAAATGATTTTTTAGAAAAACTCAAAAATTCCCAAAAAATCGAATTTTGATAAAAACGGAATGTATATGATAGTCTCTGCGCTCTTCGATATACATACCAAATTTTAGATCGATACCTCATTTTTGGCCAAGTAATAGCGAAAAAAACCTCAAAATTGATGACGTCAAATTTTTGAACTCACTTTTTAGCAATTCTAGACCACGTAGCGCAAAACAAAGACCACCATTGAACTCCCCGTGACGAGCTGCATCGAATCGATACCCATTTTATGCAAAAATATCAACTTTGAAATTTGACCCAATTTGACCTGACCTTGACCTGACCTTGACCTGATCTTCACCAAAACATTATCTCAACTGACCCCAAGGGCTGATTGTCCCACATAATCGCATTTGGCATATAAAATGGACCATAACACATGCATCACATGATATTTTTATATTTTGACTCTCATTGACCTGACCTCTGTGACCTGACCTGGTATCAGTGACCTCAAATAGCAAATATGTGTTTGACGAACGTTTCCTCATCGATTATTTTCAATCAAATGCATTTTACTCGATTTTACAACGCTTTTCTTGAAATGCCTGTAAACGGTGAAAATTCGACCTTTGACCTGACCTGTGACACCGAGGTCAATGAAATTGGGTCACAAGGTAGTTCCACGTTGGGGCTATCCAACGCCGTTTGCCGCTTGTCGTTATGTTGCGTGGTTCTCGAGATCTTAGGGGGGGGGCTAAAATGCCCCCCCCCATGAATCAGACCGCGTTGCTCGGCAGACCCCATCAGGGGGCGGGATATAGGGGAAAGTTGGGTAAGACGGTCAGGGTAGGTAAGACGGGCACCCTTTCTGCAGACCAAACCAATAGCGCTACGAGCGAGAAAAATTAGGACCAGAATTGCCTTTCCCACTACACACCACCATTGAAGTCTGGTGAATTTGTGTTCAGTCAATAAACTTTTATTTTGATTTCTTTAAAACACTCATTTCATTGAAAACATCCATAATGTATTGTGCAAGATTTTGTGTGCAGCACTATAGAGTTAACCCTCGCCCGCACATGCCATTTTCCCATCCTAGAACGCACATGGGGGGGGGGGGTTGCCACCCCCCCCCCGCGCCATTTCGTTCCTGTTGGAGATAGAGCTTAGCAGTAAAGACCAAAAAGATTCTTTGGGAAGAGACAAATCCAATGATACCCAGTTTTACCTTCTCAGGTCAGTCATTGACCTTCCAGGTCAGGTCAAACTAAAAAATGTTGCTGTTTTGGGTCACCGTTGGATATCAAGTGCGCTGCTTATCAAGTACCGATGACGATGCTGTTTTCTGGTGCCAAGCCAGCTAGAACCTCTCTGTCACACTATCCGACCAGAATTTTGCTGCTGAGGTCATTTCAGGTCAAGTTAGGTCAAGGTCAATTATATGTGTTTGTATGTCTGTGTGTGTCTGTGTGTATACTGATGTGTGCACCGATTGTTTTTGGGTCCATATCACATGAAATCATGATCTGAGAAGCTTTTACCAAAAATGCAGTCAAAAAACTTCACAAAAAGTAAATTCAGCTTGCCTAAAACGCAATTAACTTAGATGACCTAGGTTGACCTTGACCCTGACCTTGACCCCTGTACATCGTCGAACAACATGTTCCATGATAGGTGGGAGGTAAGACTGGCAAAAAAGGCCGAAATCAGGGTGTCAAAAGCTCACAAGGCCCATGGCAAACGCAAGATGTTGAGAATTGGCCATTTGGGTCATGACATGACCTGAAAAACAAGGTCATATCTCCGAAACCAAAAATCACAGAAACTTGAAATTTTCAGTGGACATCAAGAAAGGATAGACGAGCAGCTATACGAAAAATCAGCCCTCTAGCTCTAAAAATGTTGAGTGCAGAGCAGAAAGACTGCCTGGGGGGGGGGTGGCAACCACCCCCCCCCCCCCCATGTGCGGGCGAGGGTTAAAAACTCGCAATCACTTGTGGTACACTCATATGCCACCAGTGTTCATTTACCGCGGATTTGCTTTGTCTGCATCAAATTGTTTGTACTTTGTCCACAGAGAAAAATCGTGCTAAACTTCTAACATTGAGTTTGGGGTAAGACGTGCAACTATGAATCCAAGGGGTCTGTAATGGTGAAAATATTTTGTTGCTGTAGGAAAAA